GAGCATAATTCTTAGACGTAATATTATATTTCTACTATTGAGTGAGGGCATGTACAATTATAATTTTTCTTATAAAATAAAAGACACAACTGTAGTTTTCTATTAAAAAAAAAGTGTAAAAAGTAAAAACTAAATTCTAAAATGTGGGTGGTGGCACGTGCCGCCACTCCTATGAATGTGGATTGCTCTCCAAAAATCTTCTTCCCAATTGCGAATGGTCTTCTTAGGAGGCAATATCTACAATTTCCTCGAGGTACACTTTGACAAATACTGCAAGTTGTTGCTAAACAGAGTTATTGAAGATGAGCCAAAATCATTTCCCTAGTCTGCAATTTCCTCACTTTCCTCCAGATATAGACAATGTGGGCGGGGATGTTTCCTTGGATTGTCAAGAAAGTATGTTACAAATCAACTCTGTCCAACAACCACCATATTCAAGAGATTTCCAGAATGTGTGTTGATTGTGTTGTTGTTTTTTTTTTTTTTTTTTGTTACATTGGAATTGGTCCAGAAATCAACTGTCCAAGAACAACCAAATTCAGAAGATTTACACAATGGGGGTGCAGATTTTCCTCTGACGGGCTGTGCAAATGGGGTGTGCAAATGGGGCACAAATCAGCAATTCTCAAACCACCTTGCTATTCAAATATCTCAATGTCTTAACTCTTCAAGGTCGCAATCAAGCATTCCAAACAACATGCTGCCAACCGCACATTCTTTGTTACGATTTGCCGCCAGCAACAGGCATTTTTAGCTTTTGCTTAATTTCACTTTACTCTTCAACTTCAATTTATGATATCTCACATAACCATGTATCAATTTTTCACATGAGAACTCATCGTTTGAAAAACAAGACGATCTTTGTAGTTCGAGTGGGCAAGTGACATAATTTATTTTGATTGTATAAGATCTTTTGGCTCCAATTCTAACGAGTACTGATCTACTTTTCCTAGATTTTTTGGATGCTTGTGATGGTATTGGAGTCGAAAATGCTTCTAGCATGGGCACTTTGGGATCTACTGATGATCGATTATGCAGATATGGCGCAGACAGAAAATGCTTCTAAAATGGCACTTTGGGATCTACTGATGACCGATTATGCAGATATAACACAGACAGAGATAAGACTTGATATGCAGATATAACACAGACACAGATGATGACTTGACAGCAGTTTCCTACTGCTCTATCAGTGACGTCCGAAGATCAAGACTATAATAAATTAATAATCCACCACTCGTGATCTGGAAGAACTCCGAAATGAACCATTTCTTGTACCAATTACCGATGAACAAGAACTGGTTTCAAAATTACTCAAATGAGGTGGAGGGCAGCCAGAGAGAAACCAATCATTTCTCACCAAAACTATAGTCCACCAGTTGCAGACTCCAGAATCAAACCCTCTCAAATACTATGAACAATGAGAGCCCTTAGCTAGGGATGTAAGTTAACAAATTTTGACGCATTACACCCTTGTTGTGGTTTTTGTTGTCATTGGTTTGATATTAGTGTCATCACCACCCCTAATGGGAACCCCCTGCTACTCTCCTTTAGCTATAACAAACAATAAATGTTTTGTCTGTTGAGAAAGGTTTCTTACAATTCCTGGGGCTATTGGGTTTTTTGAATGCCTTTTTATTGACATGAAGCAATGTCTCAATGTGTTGTCTGGTGAGAAAGGTTTCTTACAATTCCTGGAGGGCTATTGGGTTCTTGAATCCCTTTTTATTGTCGTGTGGCAATGTCCATGATCTAGCAGGGAAATTAATCCACTTGGACTATAATATTTCTAAATGTCATTGCAAGATTCATTTATCATATACTTAAAAATTACTGAGAAATTTTAGAAGAGAACTTTTGTCTGACGTCTCTTTCAAGTATATACTAAATAGACCTAAGACTTAAAGAAGGCTAAACTGCAAAAATACTCAAGAGTGAGGAGGTTCATGCAACAAAAAACTGGGGTGGTTATTCTTCATAAAGAAATTGCACTAAATGAATTTCAACAGTCAAATATTTAAGCATACAAGATCAAAGTGATAAAGAAAACAAGAATTTAGGCTACAACCTGTCATTGCAAGATTCATTTATCATATACTTGAAAATTACTGAGAAATTTTAGAAGAGAAATTTTAGAAGAGAACTTTTGTCTGATGTCTCTTTCAAGTATGTACTAAATAGACCTACGACTTAAAGAAGGCTAAACTGCAAAAATACTCAAGAATGAGGAGGTTCATGCAACAAAAAACTGGGGTGGTTATTCTTCATAAAGAAATTGCACTAAATGAACTTCAACAGTCAAATATTTGAGCTTACAAGATCAAAGTAATAAAGAAAACAAGAATTTAGGCTACAACCAGGAAAACAAGAATTTAGGCTACAACCAGGTCAAATTTTTCCACCGCAAAAAAAAAAAAAAAAAAAAGTTTG